ATCTCCATGGCCATGGACACATGGAAATTGCCTTTATTCCCCTGGGTTAACCCCCCCAGGATTTAAAACACAAGGAAGGTTTGCAGGGGAAGGGATTGTCTTTCATTTCACCAACTAACACAAGCTGGAGTTAAAAAAAAAAACATAGTATTTCAGAAACACAAGTTCTTCCAATTTTAACAGAATGCTGGAAGAAAAAGTTAATGTATCTTTCATGAGGACAATCTAGATAATAAGCAACAAAAGGCTGGGATTTTTTTTCTTTCTTTTTTCTTCAATTTTTTTCCCCCACCCCTTAAATAAGGAAGAATTTCTGGTCGTGGAAAGACGACCAAGGTAAAACTTGAGTCACCAAAACATCCCCCAGACAGGAACACGCTGTAACCTCAGGTGCTAAGTGATCCAGGAGATTTTACTTTCAGATTTGGGCAGAAACAACAAGTTAAGGGGAAAAAAAGGAAACAAAAAAACAACAAAAAAAACCCCAACCCCAAAAAACAAAACCACAACAACCCTCTGTGTGTGTCAAACCTGAACTACAATTGTTATTCAGCAATTTGCAACACTTACTGTCATATTACGGTAATTTCATTTTATTTTTTGCTCCCTTTGCTCTGTTCCTGTAACAAAACAGCAAATCTCAGGATTTCAGAGGGTACTGGGGAGAGAACTGAAAGGGATCCTTTAAAGGTTTGGGGGCACAACCTGTGACCCTGGGAAAAGTGGGAATTTTGCAAACCAGGGTGACAAAACTGTGGGGTTTGGGTGTTTTCCTCTCCCTATTTCCCACCTCTCTGGCTACAAAGGTTCTGCAATATCTCTCCCTTCCTCGCATGGATATATTATTTATTATATGTATATAATATATGTATATAATATATATATGAAATGGTGCTGGTACTTACTTTTTCAGAGGCTCTATGACTGTCTTTTGGATCTGATTCACCTGTGGAAAGCAAAAGTGGATGGTTGGAAAAGCCAGTTTGCACAAGGATGGGCTTGCACAGAGCCCACCCCGGGGTGGTTTGGGATTTGGGGCACAATACAATGTTCTTTAACCAAAAAGGAGCAGATTTGCCCCAGGTGCTCAGGGTGAGCAGAAATCCCCAGTACAACCAGCCAGGAGGATGAGATTAGAGAGAAACTTGTGTGGGAAAAGCCTTGGGGATGATGATAAAAAGGGAAGGAGGATCTGTCTGGAAGGGGAAGGTATAAGGACTCCGGACAAGGGATGGAGGGACAGGACACAGGGAATGGCTTCCCACTGCCAGAGGGTTAGATGGGATATTGGGAAGAAATTCCTCCCTGGGAGGGTGGGGAGAGGCTGGGATGGAATTCCCAGAGAAGCTGTGGCTGCCCSTGGATCCCTGGAAGTGTCCAAGGCCAGGCTGGAGCAACCTGGGACAGGGGAAGGTGTCCCTGCCCGTGGAAGAACTGGCTGAGCTTTCAGACCCCTTCCAACCCAAACCGCTGTGGGATTCTACACCACCAGCACACCCCGCTCTCCCCTCCTTCAGCCCAAGCCAGTTCACCTTCTCCTGGTTGAAGGAGTCCATCCTCTTCATGGCCGTGTCAAAGGCCGTGACCATCTCCAGGAACGCCGGCTCCTGCTCGCACAGCGGGTTCGACAGCAGGTCCGAGGAGATTTTCACGGCAGACTTGGACATGGCTGGGGGGAGCAAGGAAAAGAAAAGCAGAGAGGGGTCATGATGCCTCCCGCTGCCAGGGCTGGCACAAACATCTGCACAGGGCAGGGGGGGGGCAAAAATCAGGCCCTGCAGCCACCCAGGAGGGGTTTAGCACAGCCTTCCAGGGAGACGCTCGCTGGTGGCTGAGAGAAAAAGGAAGGAAAAGCCACCAATTCATTCATGTAAACACCCAGAGAACTGTTTTTATATAAGTTAAGTCTGAGCCACTCCAGTGTGGAGCTTGTGACGCTGCCAGAAATAATCCCAGACTAACAAAAGCACTGTTCTCTTAAAAAAAAAACCAACTCCTAGATGGGGGTTTTTATACATCTTCTCTCGACAGACTATTAAGTGTCACTCTCAGCCTCACTACAGCTCTTCCACAATGAGAAAAATCATAGTCCATTAAGTCTTTCAAATGGCTTTACAACAAAAAAAAATATGTATTTGAAGTGGATTTAGTGGGAAAGGACCAGGCTGACAGGGCTGGAAGACGAGGCTTCTCTTTTCCTCTCCAGCAGCAGGGACACAAGTTAAGCATTTCCCCCCAGTAAGCCTAAATTTTGTGCCCGTGGAGAACAAGCCAGGGGTGAATGGAAAGTCCCTTCAGACCCTGGGAGTGCCACCAAGAAGTCCAGAAGCACCAGGTCACGCTCTGATGGGCTTCAGCTCCTGTCTCACTGAGCTTGTTTCCCATCAGACACACCCCTCTTTTTCCAAACACTTGGTCTTCAAAGGGAAAATTCAATCCCTGTGACAGAACCACTACAAAAGAGCAAGAAATTAGCTAAGGTACAGAATGGAAAAAAAGAAAAAGAGATGAATAAAAAGGAAAGCATCGCTATAAACAGGGATAAAATAGACCAAAAAAAAAAAAAAGGGGCCATGAGTACTTAAAAAAAAAAAATAAAATGTTCTTTTTCCTCGGTGCTGGAAGTTATTCCAGCTTGAGATCAGAAAGCCAGATGCTTGAGCCGTGCTACGGAGGAGCTTTGGAAAGGCTCCTACTGTACTGCCTCAGATATTCCAAGTTAAAGCCATCTGAAATAATGGGGCTTAAGATCATAAATCAAGGGGTTAAACATTCCGATTTAAAAGGTTACACACAATTATACAGAGAGCTCAGAAGCTGCAGAGCCGGGGAGCTCAACAGCAGAACGAGCCTCTAACTACGGAATAACAAAGCTACCGTATCCATCTATTATCCAAACATTAAGGCTTTAGGCATTTAAACCTTTAAACAGATGGGATATAATCCATATGTGTGACCACATCTGAGGAGGGATTTGTGCCAGAACGGGACGGAGTTGAGGACGGCACAACTCCTTTGGCTGCAGGAAAAATTGAGTTTCCCCTTCACAGGAGAGAGGACTGCAAGTGAACTGCGAGGGAGGGGAGAGGCCGGGAGGTCAGGAATTGGGGGGCAGGGGGTTGGGAATGTTCAAGGGGAATTTAGGTCAGGAATTTCCTCTGCATTGCTGGCCTCACCTGCAGGGTGCTGAAAAGGAGGGTGAGGGGGGGTCTGAGGGTCCCAGGGCAGAGGATCCCAGGGCAGAGGAGAGGAGAGAGAAGGAAGGAGGAAGGAAAGAGGGGAGAGGGAGAAGGGACCACCTGTCCCTCAGGAGGGTGTGCACCACTCTTTGCTCATGCAGCTCCAGCCAAAGGAATTTAGGATTTTACAGTCCACTGCTCGTTTGAGTCGTGACAAAAGTAACGGAGAAGACTGAGGGCAAACCTGAGCCACAGGGATCCAGTGGGTCACCTGCATCTCCTTCCAATGGAGACCTTTTATCTCCAGTTAAAGAACATCCTCCTGCTCCTTAAGATCCTGCTTTCTCTGGAAAGAGGGTGGGGAAAGGGGTGAGTGATCTTTCACCACAGGACAGGGAGTGCTGCTGATATCCCATTCCCTGTTCCAGTCACGCTGCTGCAGCTGGAAGAGCCTCACAGGGATATTTCTTGTGCAGACGGAGGAACTGGTCTTGTTCTGAGCTGAGTTTTTTGGGAAGAAGGTGGAGACTTGAGCCACCAGGTCCAGTTTGCCAGGGAGTGTTTGCAGGCAGTGAATAACCAACCCCCTCAGCACAGAGGGACAGGACAGGAGGACACAACACCGTGGATGAACTGCCAACCCTCTCGGAGACGGGGGCTGGACGTTGGCTGAGCAAGCACAGGGATGTCCCCTTGGGAATGGGCACTGCCAGGTGAGGAGAGCAATCCTCAGGGATGCATCTGATCCACCTCCCTTCCCCTCAGCCATCCCTCACCAGACTGTGCTCTGACATCTTCCCCTACACTCACGATTTCATGCCTTTAAATGAGAAATCAGATCCTCCTGGATCTGGCCAAGGCTCATTTGTGACTCTGCCATGTAGCAGAACGGAAAAAGAAAGTCCTCCCACAGCTCCTCTGGGACTTGAAATGCTCCATATAAACAACGCCCACTGCAAGGGAGGGGAGGGGAATCCTTAACAAGGAAAAACTTACCAAGGATCCCTGACAATGACCAGAGTCCTCGGAAAGGGCAGTTTTCACCCTGGAAAAGAGTCCTGGCACTGCCTGTTTCTGGTGCCTTTCCCACCACCCTCCCCGTGCTGGGAAAGGGTGGGAGAGCACGGCAAGCGCCCGGATCCGTGTTTGTGTCTGGCATATCCAAGCACACACACACACACACACAAACACACAGGTGAGTCTGGATCATGGGAAGCCCCAAACCTGCCAGCTGCTGGGGCTCCTTCCCACTCGGCTGCCCCGCTGTGACCCCAATCCCACGGGATGAGTGTTGGCCCGGCTCAGCCCACCCCTGTTTGCACTGGTGCATCAGCCTTGGCTCCCGAGCTGTGGGGGCCCGGCACAAACAGGGACTGCTCCAAACCACATGCTGAGGAAAACCATCTGTGTTTAAAGCAGCTCTTTGCTGCAGGTTCCTGCCCCGCTCTGGTCGATAACCGGCACCCAGCGAACCCAGCTCCCGGTTCCCCTCCAGCGGATCTGTGTCCGGGTGGTGTGGGAACGCTGGTTCCTGACTGGAGAAGCTCTGGAGGGAGCAGGGAGGCGCTGTGAGGTGGGACAGGACACCTGAAAGGGCAGATGTCACCCCAGACGTGCAGCTGTGGCGGGAACAGGCAGAGCTGAGCTGTTTATTGCTTCCTGCGTCGCCCACTGCCACGAGGAGAAGCCAAAGGAAGCGGCCAAGAGGGAGTGAGAAGGGTTATTCCCGAATGAGAGCTGCCAGGTCAGCAGTTCCTACTGGAAACACGGACAGCCTGTGCTCTGCAGACCCCCCCAGAGCCTCGTCCCACCCTCAGTGCCCTTCCCCAAGCAGGTGATTTACACCCTGCTGACACAGGAGGCTCAGCTGGAGCTGGCTGATGCGAGAGCTGGAATAACGACGCCTATTTTTCACTTTGCAGAAACTGAGGCAGAGAAAACAAAGGGATTTGTCCAAGGCCACAGAGCTCAGGAGACAGGGAGCAAGCCCAGAACACGCTCTGTGTTCCCTGGGCTGAGCTGCTGCTCGCAGCCCTCTCGCAGATGGCCTTGTAACGAAGCAAACTGAGTGGGACTGAGCTCGGGATTTGTTTTCCAGGCTTGTCACACATTACTCATGTGATCTCGAGAAAGTCACTTCGTCTCTCTGTGGCCAAGTTCACAGTCTATGTATCCTGCAGTCACTTACCCAAGTCTGCATCTGTGCTTTTCTTCATATCCTTCTGAAGTTTTTTGGTCTGATCTTCCAATCTGAAAGATGGGAGAAGAAGGCAAAGTCGGAATCTTGGAAAGAAAGAAACCCAAGTGTATCATACATGCAACAAATCATTTACGGGCTGAATATGCTGGCTTCTGGTGGGAGTTAAAAATATCCAGGCAAGGCTCTGCGAAGTTCAGTGCAGCTCAACCCTTTTGGGTTGTTTTCAGATGGTTTTTTAACCTTTTCAAGTTGGTGATCTCTTATTCGTAGTTCACATATTTTCTTCAAGTCCTCACACAGCACAAATGGCAAAGCCAAATGCTTCCACATGATCCCTGTGAGCTCCTGTGACACAGCCAGGATGGCAAAGCCACTCCTGACCCTCAGAGATGTTGGGCTGTCCAGAGAGCCCACGGTTTCCTGGGAATTTCACGCTCTTTTTTAGAGCTGCCATAATCTGTAAACCTCAACCCCACTGCAAATACTTCTTAGGACACCTTCCAACACTCAGCCACCAGAAAAACTCTGAAGAATTAGAAATTATAGGGCAGTGAGTGATTTGCTCCCTGGGAAGAGCATAACTGGCTAAAATTCCCTGGGAAGATGCAGTAAGAGGACAGGAGAGAAGCACGTGGCCGGTCCTGTTTGACCAGTGTGGTTGATACTCACTGCTGCAGCTTTCCATATTCCCTTTCAAAGTCTCTCTCCACCTGTGGAAAGAAGAGATGGAAATCAGCTCCAAGAGACTGCAGGGGAGCCTGGAGTGGCAAACCTTTGCAGGGAAACCTGTCCCTGGGAAATGCTGACCTGAACCCCAGGAAGCACAAGCTGCAGCTGTAACGGGTTATTGCTCCTAAAGGAAATGGAGTCTGGGGGTTTTTCAGCTCCAGACTCTCTTGGGGCAAAGTCACTGCCACCAAACGTGCCAGCTCGCTCCAAGGATGTGCTCCAGCACGTGAACTGGAAGCTGATGGAACAGGAATGCCCTAAAAGCAGGGAGATCACAACTGAGCACAGCTCGAGAGGTGCTGGGGGGACGAGCCCACTTTCTCTTCCAAAAACTGAGAGAAGCTGCTTCTCCTCCAGCTCCAAAGGACCCCGAGGCGGGTCTGGCCGTGGCTGGATGCCAGACCCCCTCCCAGCCGCTTCTTCCTTCCTCATCCTCAGCAAGATGGTTAAACTGCCCCTAAATCCCTCAAGCCACTATTGAGCCCTCCCATCTCCGTATTATTCACCCCCTCCACAGGCTCCTTATCCCTGCCATGGCTCCTTCCCATGCAACCCTTCGGCTGGAGCAACGATCCAAGTGGACTGTGACACCTCAAAAAGGGAGGGGAAACCTGTGCTGGGAGCTCAGAGCTCAGGCACAGCCTTCTCCCGACGCTCCCTCAATGACTGCTCCCTCCTACTTGCTATCTGGCAGCAGATCTCCAGCGATGGGAGATATTTTAGGGAACTTTTCCTTCCATGCTGACTGTTTTAACACACTTGAAACATTCATTCCACACCTCGTCAACCGAAGAAGCAAAATGGATTTCAATTGACCAGCCAAGAGTAAATACATGCGCGTTTGTTGTCATGGGACCAGCACCGGGTTCACTTGTGTTGTCAAGCTCCTGTGCTATTAAGGAAGTGTGGAGTGCTGCAGGCAGCCAGGACTAGAAGGATCCAAAGGTTTGTTCCAATTCTCCACGCTGTCCTCGGGATTTCAATCCCGGGCTTGACGCGACACCCGAGCGCTTAAATGGGGACGTTTCAAGCGAGATTAAAAGACCCGAATTTTAAGATGGGAGCTCAGAAATCCCGGTTTTCTTGCAACCTCCATTGCTAAGTCTCTTTTTTTTTGAGGGGGGGGGAGGGATGGCTGCACTGGAGCTCCTCCAGCCCAGTGTGAAGGCAGGCAGCCACCAGCCACGTCCCAGCCCCGTCCCAGTGGCCAGCTGTCCGCACCATCAGCTCCCACCATCCGGGGGATGCGAGCTGGCTCTCCCCTGCCTGCAGGAAAAAAAAAAACCAACACAAAAAAACCCCCCACGGTAGCTCCAGCTCCCTTTCTGTGCTGCTAAAATTGGTCGCTGGAGAACGGGAACGGAGCAGTGTGGGGGCAGCTCACACGACTTTGTGCCTGGTGTTCGCGGAGCTGCAGAAATCCGCGGCAGCTGGTGCCGGGAGGTCAGGTAACCGGCACGGGGGAAAGCTCACCCTCCATCCCCGTGCCTGTTCCGGCTGCTAAAATAACCAGGGAGGGCTGCACTCTATTTATAAGCCCTAGGTGTGAATTGTTTTGGTTGCAAACCAGAGAGGGTCGGGCGCGACTCGAAAATATGCCCTTTGAAGGCTGGCGGGGTCGTTCCCTCGGTGTGGAGCTCCAGCCTTCTCCACCTTCTGCAGGATCTTCCTGCTGTCTGCTCGGCTGGAGGGTTTGGTTATGAAACTAAGCTACCTGCAAATACTCAGGGTATCTGTCCCTTCTTGCTGTTAGATTCCCTCCTTCCTGTGCAATAAGCAAAAGGCGTCGTTGCTTAATGGATATGGAGCACTTCCAGTGCCTGAAGGGGCTCCAGGAGAGCTGGAGAGGGACTTGGGACATGGGCCTGACAGGACACAGGGAATGGCTTCACACTGCCAGAGGGTTAGATGGGATATTGGGAAGAAATTCCTCCCTGGGAGGGTGGGGAGGCCCTGGAATGGATTTCCCAGAGAAGCCGTGGCTGCCCCATCCCTGGGAGTGTCCAAGGCCAGGTTGGAGCAACCTGGGACAGTGGCAGGTGTCCCTGCTCCTGGCAGGGGGTGGAAGAACTGGATGAGCTTTAAGATCCCTTCCAACTCCAACCATTCTGGGATTCTAGGATTCATTCCATAAAGGCAAAACTTCCCCATAAGGTGCTGTGAACCCCCAAACCTTCCAAGCTCCCCCAGTCACCCCATCCCAGTGCCTGTGTGCTTTCCCCATGGGATCGAGGTGGCTCCACACGGAGACACTTCAGCTGCCTGGCCTGACTCACATCCCCAGCCCATCTCTCCAGAGACAGCTGCCCATGGACTGCTCTTATTTTTCACGCCCACAGGCAGCAACTGGCTCCCAGTCATCACAGTCTGGGAGCTCAGGGAGCCTCCCAGTCACCGCCGCTCCCGCCGGCGTCGCGGGAGCCCAGATATCCCACAAATCCAGCCGGGAGCAGAGCGCTCTGGAGAGGGAAAACCTCCTCTCCCATGCTCCTACCATGCAGACTCCCAGGTGAGGAGGCCAAGCTGAGAACACTCCGCAGAGCACACGGTAATTCCCGCTCCCAGGAGCTGCCAGTGGTCACACGCAGCCGACACTCCCGGCGCAAGGCCGTGGAGAGGATTGTCACGTTAAGAGTAACGAGAACAAGAAGTACAGGCAGGAAAATTACAATATCCTGAAGGGAAGTTTCCGTGATGTTAAAATAATCCCACTTCTCCGCAGCGAGAACTCGAGAAATCAAACCGTGTTTCTGCGCCGAACCTTTCTTTTTTTTCTCCTTCCAGGCACAGGGAAATGTAAAAAAAATCGCTCGACTCGGGGGTTTTTATTTAAATCTACATAAAGAACTACGAGTTCTTGAAAGCTTTGAGATGAAACAACGTCCTTCTTCACCCAGTTATTTTTTGTTTGCAAACACTGGGCCTCCCACCTGCGATAACATCCCTCCTGCTTTAAGGGCGGGATCATAATCACCACCACGGTTACGAGGCAATGAACCAAGACCAAAGCCAATACTACAAAGAGATGGAAATAAGGGACTGTGATGAACCCTCCTATTCCCCTGAGGTTTATTTTTTTCTCCTGGAGGAGGAGGATGAGCTGATTTCTACATGTTCCTGTGGTCTAAGCCTCTTCGTGGGTCTTGGGCAAAAGAGGAGACTGTGTGTTTCTTCTTCCCTCCTCTCCAAAAAAAAAAAAAAGAGAAACCCATATAATTAGGCCAGAAATTCTGTTAAAACCTGGAATTTCTGCTGAGCTTTTGCTATCCCATCAAGCTAGAGATCCAAGGTTAAGCCATGTGGGTGAATATTCACTCTGCAGGGCCCTGAGCCAGAGCAACGCTGCAGAATTCAGGCGGGTCTGGGATGTCATGGACTTCACCCAGCAAGCTCTCCAAACCCCCACTCAGAAAGAAAGCTTTCCAGAAAGGTGGCAGAGGGAAAAAGGATGCACCTCCCAAATGCAGAGACCAGTTTGGTCCCACCGAAAATCGAAGTGAAAACCAGTAAAATGGTTTAACCGGAGTCACTTGATCTCACCCCACCATTTCTGCGACATTCACTCCATTGTTTTGGGATTTCCAGCTCACTGGTGGAGCCCAATGGAAAGGCACCGAGGGCCAGCAGCTGCAGTGGAATCCTCCTGCTCATGGAGCTCCTCTGTCCCACACCCCTGGGGAAGGCAGAGCTGCCGGGATGAGTCAAGGAAGGGAGGTTTGGCAGCTCAGGTCCCACTCCCTGCCAAGCTGACTCAGCCCAGGTTGGCCAGCGAGGAGGAGGAGGGAGAGTGGTCTGAGTCAGCCCAGGATGGAGCAGGGATGATGCCAGGACCGGGATGGTGCCCAGGACCACCAGGATGGGGCAATGATGGCACCCAGGACCCCCAGGATGGAGCAGGGATGATGCCAGGACCGGGATGGTGCCCAGGACCACCAGGATGGGGCAATGATGGCACCCAGGACCCCCAGGATGGAGCAGGGATGAGGGAAGCAGGGAGGGAGAAGGGATCAAACCCGGGTGATGCGAGGGGCCGCGCTCCGGGCCGCCCCATCCCGAGCACCGGCTGGCTCCCGCAGGGAGATGCACAGCCGGCTCTGCTTCCCTGCTCCCTGCCTGCTTGGATAACCCCAGCCCTGCTGAAGAGCAGGGAACAACCTCGGGGTGACACGGGTGAACTTCAGCGAGCTGGAGCTGCGGGAGAGCTCGGGAGACAAGACAGCTCCGATTCCGTAACCTCCGCTCCGACCGGAGCTGTCCCCAGGGAGGGGAGAACATCTCCGGGTTGGGTCAGAGCAATAAACATTGTGCAGAGAGATGTAATTCCAACAGGTTTAACTCCTATCACCGGGCATTAGTTTAATTGGGCTGTGGGGCTGTGTCCTGTGCTGCTCTGCTGACAGCAGGTCCTCGCTGCATTAGATCCTCCCACCCGGCTCCCGGCAAGCCCGGTGACAGCTGCTCTTTTCAGGGAAGAGGAGGGGAGAGATTATGCTGTCTGGAATTGGATTTGCCCAGGTTAAGGTGGAAACAAAGCAGAGGCATGTCTGGGGAGTGGGAGATCACCTCGGTTCACCAGCTGATATTTTCCACGGGGGGTTTCCTCCTCCCTGAAGAGCTAAACTGTGGCTGACACCGTGCCCTTCTCCAAAGGATCAGAGGCGAGTGGGCCCAGGGAGTCATGACTAATTCCTCGGCAGCCCAGGCAAATTGCTTTTCAGGACTAATGTCGGCCTGGATTTGACACCAGCCCCAGCATCGCTTCATCAGGACAACAAAAAAGCCTCCTGGCAAAGCCACCCCCCTCTCCTGACTCCAGTCCCAGGCCTCGTGGAGAGCCAGAGAAATCAGATCCTAACAAATGCCTTTTTTTTTTTTAGCTTCCCCCTCCCCACCCCCCGATCCTCTTTTGTGGTCCAGTCCCTGTGAGTGGGAGATCCTCTAACCCACAACCACTTCCCTTCTGATGAGCTTGGGATGCAGCCCTGGAGATGCCACACCTTCCCACTTCCTGCAGCGGGCTCCAGAGCCCAACATCTGGAATATCACAGACCTTGGCTGCTACTGCTGCTCCCAAAAGCCTGCACAGATGGAGCATCTCAGCCCGCAACCGGGAGGTGAATTTGGGGGCCTG